AGCAGCTGCCTTGATAGAATGATGGAATGGTCTCCTAAAGACACAGTTACAGCACCAATTAGGTGGCAATAGCCTGGAGGGCTGGGGCAGGGTCCTCCAGAAGGCAGTGTATGCTTTGAATCAGCGTACAGTATATGGTACAGTTTCTCCTATAGCCAGGATTCATGCAGGAATCAAGGGGTGGAAGTGGGAATGTTTCCACTCACTATCACCCCTGGTGACCCACTAGGAAAACTTTTGCTTCCTGTACCCTTGACTCTGCACTCTACTGGCTTGGATGTTTTGGTTCCAGAGGAGGGAGTGCTTCTGCCAGGAGAAACAACAAACATTCCATTGAACTGGAAGCTAAGACTTCCCCCTGGACACTGTGGGCTTCTGATGCCCTTAAGTCAGCAGGCTAAGAAAGGAATAGCAGTATTAGGAGGGGTGATTGACCCAGACTACCAGGGTGAAATTGGAGTGGTTCTCCACAATGGAGGTAGTGAAAATTATATCTGGAAGGCAGGAGAGTCCTCAGGGCAACTTCTGGTGTTACCGTGTCCTGTGATTAAGGTCAATGGGAAACTGCAAACAACCCAATCCAGACAGAACAACAAATGGCCCAGACCCTTCAGGGATGAAAGTATGGGTCACTCCTCCAGGGATAGAGCGAAGACCTGCAGAGGTGCTTGCTGATGGTGGAGGAAATACGGAATGGGTAGTAGAGGAAAGTAGTTACAAATACCAACTTAGGCCAGGTGACCAGTTGCAGAAATGTGGATGGTAATTGATGAGTATTCTTGTCCTATTTGGTTAAGAATAGGCTTGTGCATGTATGCACATATGTTAAGCAGATACTTGAGTTATTTTTTTGAATGTGTAATTGAGATAAGTGTTAAGTGGTTAAGTGTTGTGAACCTATATGATTATATTGATGTGAACTTATATGATTATATTGGGTTATGAGACACTAAAGGACTAAGCATTCCTCGAAGACCTTATCATCTACTGTAAGATATATAAAGCATTGGTCATTGTAATATCGGATAGTTATATCATGTTAGGTGAAATTATGACCTCAACATTATTTTCATTTGAAAATTAAGCATGACATACAGAGATGCTATTGGGTGTCAAGTTGACAAGGGGTGGACTTGTGATGGCTAATCTTGGGTGTCAACTTGACTGGATCTGGGATTAACTGAAATGAAAGAGATCTTCTTGATTGGATCATCGGAAGCTGGAAGACACACCCTAAATGTGTTACCTTCTGATGGCAGCCCGTATAGAAGACCAAAGCAGAGGAGAACGCCAGGCTTCTTGCTGCTTGCCTTCTCTCTCACTGGTGAGTTCGTCTTGCTGCTGTAGACTGAAGACTAGCTGATCTTTTGGAATTTGTCAGACCTTCAGTGCCAGATTGAGACTACTGAGACATCCAGCCTTGTGGACTGAGCGACTACAGATACTCAGCCTCTCCAGTGTGGTGCAGCCATTGTTGGACTACTCTGACTCTATCTTGTGAGCTAAGCTGATAAATCTCTATACATATATATTCATTCTACAGGTTCTGTTTCTTTGGAGAACCCTGAGTAATCCACAAACTCAGGTCCTCTGGAAGATCAGTATGTGCTCTAAGTGCTGAGCCATCTCTCCAGCCCCCTGATCTCAAGCTTGGCAGCATTTCTGGCTTCTGCTTCATTTTCAGACTTCTCATTAAAGTCTCTAGAAGGTTTATTTTGTGAATTCCTTAACCCTTTCCAACAAATTTTAAATGCATAAAGTTAGTTTCTGCCACTCACAATAAGAACCTTTACTAGAATATGTTGGGAAAAAACTTGGGAGTGCATACAGCATAGGAAGGATATTGAATACAAATTTCCATTTGATGATAAGAATCACACGACTGGTTTATTTCCCTCTGAAGATTTGTGAGATTTATTATTTCTATTGCATGGAGAACAGGGAGTAGGGAACTGGGTGTCTCCTGTGAAGGGGGCCTGAATGCGGCTGTGTAGTCACAGTGGGTAACAGAACCAACTCAATATAATAAGGTTTTATTTCTTCCTTACCATTGGGAAAATGGACTCAAGTAAGGTGAGTAAGTTATCCAAGTTCTCAAGTCAGAACAATGGTTTATAAACCAGGAAGTCTGTACATGTGCCTCTTCTGTGTCAGTACAGATGAATGGTCAGCTCTCCTCTCTCCTGTGACTGGCAAAGCTGGCCAGGAAGTCAGAGCTCTTTGACTCTTGCGTCTTTTGAATATAAGTGTGTGTGGTAGTATACTATTGTAACCTTTCCTTTATTCTCTGTATACTCTGTGTAGCTATTTTTAAATTCTCTTTCTATAATGCCACTTGAAGTTTTTCTGTGTGGTTTTTCACTGTTGTGTGTGGTTAGTAATTCCCATATAAATAAGAGATCATCTCAGATGAAAGGGAAATTTAAGCTTCAGTTATTAAAGGTGGTCTATGGTGGCCTTCATATTTCCTGGTTCAGAGTTGCTCTCCGGGGAATGGAAGAAGGATAAAGCAGACTATTTTGATGCCACTGTTTTTGCACTTTATAACTGTCAGGCTTTGTGCAGCTTTTCTCCCTGAGAAAAACTTTCCTGACCTTTGTCAGTAACGTTTGATGAAGGCTAATGGTAGTGTTTTCCATTTCTACTACAAAGAATAAATTGGATTTTTTGGAAACAGTAGATAACTACTTTGTTACCCTAAAAAAAACAAGCCTCTGCAGTTTCATCTTTTGACAACTGTTGTGGGGCAATCAGCGATACCGGAAATATAGCCACACAATATAGCATGTATCTTATTCAACAAACATTTATAGAGTGTTAATTCTGTGCCAGCTCATGTGATATGCATTATACCAAGTATTTATGCATTATATAATTACATAATATGTTAAATGTAAGCAACAATGATTAATATGCTAATCTTAATATTATATATGCAATTATTGATTGTGTTGTGGGTCAAGTACTATTATTCCCATTTTACAAAAGAGGAAACTGAGGTTCACAGAGAGGAAAAAATGTGCCCCAGGTGATGCATCGCCTAAGTGGCAGAGCCATAGCTCACACCAGGTAGTTTATCTCCTGAGTTCACACTATTAACTCTGTCCCCAGTTGCCTTTCTGATTTGCTAAGGAATGGAAACAACACAGACTCTTACAGCCAGAGGGATCACTCCTTCTGATGCTGAAAGCAGCTAAGCACATCATCCTTTTTGTCTTGATTAGGATTCTTGGTTCATGCTTAGCTGCACTTGGTTGTTATGCTGTTTTCCAAGTGCGCTGATGTTGAAGGACGATTTGAATGAGTGGGCTCAGACACTGCAGGCTTTCTTCAGTCAGTGCAGTCAGTACTCGATGCTCTAGCAGAGTTAAATAAGAAAATTCATAGATGCCAACACTGTGGGAAACTGGTCAGGACCTAAAGCAGCCTGGGTAAAACTGGCCACACAAAAGCATGAAGAAAATCTTTCTCTGGTGTGGCAGAGTTAGTTGATTTGGCAGAGGTAGGAGGGGAGCCAAAAATAGGATGGAGAAAGAGAAGTGAGAAAGGTAAGAGAAAAAGCTGTCAAAATGCAGCCAGAATGGTAGAAAACTGCTTATGGGCTTAAAGGTGATGTGGACAATCTCTAGGGGCTAAGCTGGATAAGAGAGAGGTGACAATGAATTTTTTAAATATTTTATTTATTTTTATTTTATGTGTATGAGTGTATTGCCTACATATATGTGAGTGCACCCGTGTCGTGCAATGCCACAGAGGTCAGAAGAGGGCTTCAGATTCCCCTGGAACTGGAGTTAAGGACGGTTCGTAGCCGCCATGTGGGTGCTGGGACTCGAACCTGAGTCCTCTGCAAGAGCATTCAATGCTCTTAACCGCTGAGCTGCCTTGTTCTCTAACTGTGCCTAGCTTGGTGCCCTCAAAGGCCTCTGGTTAAAAGGTGGCAAGTCTTAATGAGCCACGCCTTCTCCGTTCCAGAACTCCCCAGGTAGCACTCTATGGAGTATCTGAGCAATGTTCAATTTTTATTGACACGATAATTTTCTGTCATTATGAAGCAATGTCTATTGACTTTTGGGATTCACAGATGTGGTCAGTTGCATTTGTTTGGAACCTCCCAAAAGCCAGGAGTCTGCCAGGGAAATAATGAAGGGCCATTTGTCCTGCTGAGAGTCTCCTTAAAGGGAATCAATAACCTCATTGGAAAGAAAAATTGCATCATTTCGATAAGGCCCCTTCCAGGTGAGCAACGCTGTTTGAGTGCTTAGCTGTCGTTTGCAGTATGCCTTCCTAACAACAGGCCCCAGCTATATGCTGATAGACAGTGACTCATTTCATTTAAGATAGGTTTTATTGTTCCCATTTTTGGATGAAGATATTGAGGCTCTATGAATTGAAAAAAAAAAGTGCCCATCAGCACATAATAAATAGCAAGGAATTTGAACCTGGGTTTATCTTTTATCAGGTAGTAAAGACACTGTACACTGATTTTATGTGTGTGAATGTGTGTGTGTGTCTCTGTGTGTGCAATTTATTTTTATAAATCTTTGTATTAGTATCTTTACTTATAAATTGGATATGAAGAACTACCCATTTCTCATAATTATGTGTTAATAAAATAATGTATGTGAATAGCATTTTATAACATGATATAGAAATAATAAAATTTTTATCTATTGAATATGGAGTTGCCTGAGGGGTAGGGACCTTTCCATATAT